CCTACAGAAAATAATAATCAACATTAAGAAATCTGGGAAGAGAAACACCTCAAAGTCTTTCTCAATATCTCTACCACATGTCCAAAACTTTTAAATAAACACTGAAAATCTCCCTACCAAATTAGAAGTCTCACAGGATCTATTAGAAAGTGCCTCAACCCACAGAAAGAGGAAAGAATTTCCTGATCTTGGCCCAGGAGTGACAGTCAGGGCTTCACAAGCTTCCTTCCTCACCTGCTCACAGACAGAACACACGTCAATTTTATGAGGAAACGTTTTGGGGGTAAAATTAAACTTTTCATCACACATAAGTTGAAAAGGATTTTAAAGTCAATTTTTGTTGAAACCTTTTGTGGTCATCATAAAACAACAGTGAAGACCGGATTCTGGTAGGAAATCGGAATCCAGCATAACTCAATGTCTGAGTCTGTTCAGGCTGCCCTAACAAAAGTACCACAGACTGGGGTAGGGGGAGCTTAAACAGCAGACATTTGTTTCTCACGGTTCTGGAGGCTGGAAGTCTGAGATCAAGGCACTGATATATTCAGTGTCTGCTGAGGACCCTCTTCCCAGTTCATAGACGGTGTGTTCTTGCTGTGTCCTCACCTGGAGGAAGGGGTAAGCCCGTGTGCCACAGCTACTGAGCCTGCACTCTAGAGCCCGCAAGCCACAATGACTGAGCCCACACGCCACAACTACTGAAGCTGCACTCTAGAGCCGCAAGCCACAACTACTGAGCCTGCACTCTAGAGCCCACGAACCACAACTACTGAGCCCAGTGCCACAACTACTGATCCTGCGCTCTAGAGCCCATGCTCCGCAACAAGAAAAGCCACCGCAATGAGAAGCCCGTGCACCACAACTACTGAGCCTGTGAGCCACACCTACTGAGCCCGGCACCACAACTACTGAAGCCCATGTGCTAGAGCCCGTGCTCCGCAACAAGACAAATCCCTGCAATGAGAAGCCCACGCACCGCAATGAAGAGTAGCCCCCGCTCGCTGCAACTAGAGAGAGCCTGCACGCAGCAACGAAGACCCAACGCAGCCAAAAATAAATTTTAAAATTTATTTTTTAAAAACAAGAAATTTGGGGCTTCCCTGGTGGCGCAGTGGTTGAGAGTCCACCTGCCGATGCAGGGGACGCGGGTTCGTGCCCCGGTCTGGGAAGATCCCACATGCCACGGAGCGGCTGGGCCCATGAGCCATGGCCGCTGAGCCTGCGCATCCGGAGCCTGTGCTCCACAAAGGGAGAGGCCACAGCAGTGGGAGGCCCGCGTCCCGCAAAAAAAAAAAAAAGAAAAGAAATTTTTTATGAACCTGGATTCTTGCATCTTTCCACACTTAGAAAAGCACTAAAATCATTAACTGAGATATCTGTTCCTCGCAACTAGCAGCAACCTTCTCCTGTGACGGGTGCCTGAGTGTACATACTCCTTCACCAAAATCACAGGAACACTGTCTCTCCAGAGCAGTTCCCTGGGGCTGTCTGAGAGGCTGTCTCCCAGCTACAGTCCTCAGTGAGACACTGAATAAACTTAACTCACAGCTCTTATACTGTGCATTTTTTTCAAGTCGACACCACCACATGAGGGATTCAGTTTCAACATATGAATTTCAGGGGGACACAGTCAGTGTGTAGCATGCAGCAACTAACCCTGAAAAAATAATAACAAAATCAAACATCTACAAAGGACTACATTCTTGTCAGTGAATTCTCATACATAACAGGATTAGCACAGTAATAAATGTAAATCTAAAATGTTATGGCATTAATCCAAACTCTCTACCTCTTAGCAACTGTGATGTCTGTGACTTATGATTTTTCTTCAAAATCAATAAGATGTCAAGTTTGCATCCTTGCAGATGCCATTAAGAATTTGAATCACAAGCCAGCTAACTCACAAAATAACACTATCTGGGTGGTCCAAAAAAACTCAAGCTACTGATTTAATTTGGAGTATCTTTGGAGAGGAAGCATTCCTGGCATTTGGGAAAAGAAAATGGAAATCCTCTCTGGAGAATCTCACCTTTATCTCAGCCCTTGAAGAATTTCGTCAAAAAAAAAAAAAAAAAAAAAAAAAAAAAAAGGGGGCATTTGCAGTCAAAAAAATAAGTAAACTAACAAGGACAGAAAGGATCATGAGAGAAAACCAGGTGAAATAAGAGAAAACAGAGATGAGTTTCAAATACTGGGATTACAGACCACAGAAGGACAATATTTCAATAAAAGACAAGCTTGAAAATACATGCAGGACCAAGAGACTCGAGAGAATAACATGGAGGATTTGAAAAGAACCAGACAGAATGTTTGGAAATGAAAAACTGAATGATTTAAATTTAAAATTCAATAAAATTGGTTTGAAGCATAGTATACACAGCAGAAGAAAATTAATCAAATCTAGGCAAAAGTACCTAGATTATAGCACAAAGATAAAAGAGAGAGAGAGAAATACATGAAAAAGAGGGGGACTCTTGGAAGTTAGAGCTAATGAAATAAGCCAACCCACATCAATCCAGATACAGAAAGCAAAGAGAGAGAACATAAGACAGAGGCATCACCTGAAGAGACAATGGCTGAGTTACCACACCAGACTCAAGATAATTCAATAAATCTGCACTTAGACGTATCGTTTAAAGCACAGTACCCAGAATCAAACAGCATATATTTTAAGAAGCTAAAAGTGATAAAATATTACTTTCAGAGAAGTGAATGATGATAGCTGATATCTCATCAGCAACCACCAAGTTAGAAGACAATGAAAAACACCACTCATGGTCTAAAGGACACTGCCATCCACAGAATCATAACAAAAATATACGTGAAGGAAAAGGGCAAGAGACCTCTGCTCTGGGAACCATGGACGAAGTGACCCCAATCAACCTCTCCACTAAAACACAAAACCGGACACACTGAAAAACATGTCTTTGAAACATAAGACACCTATCAAGATAGTGAGGAATTCCCACACTTCAGGAAAGAAAGGCAATCCAAAGACACAAGGCCGACACCTGGGGCCACTTTGGTCCAGGGAACAGAGAGCTGAGAGGGTGAACCATGGTTCTGACAGCCTTCTGTGGCCACAGGAAAAGCACTGGTTCGGGACCCACCAACAACGGGGGCCCTTGTGAACCACCCTCTTAGTGAACTGGGACCTCACTGGCCGCACCTGAGGAGTGAGCAGCATCCTGGCTTCCAGACACCTGGTCAGTCCCAACCATCTCACACGCCGAAGCTGTATCAGGTGATCGTGAACTGGGATGACACAGGCAGCTGGCCAAACAAAAATCCACTTTGGCAAAAGCTAATATCATCTCAGGCCTCAAATTATTTCTGCAAATAATTTTTTTTAACTTTTTTTTTTTCTTTTTTGGAGAGTGGTGGTGTACGCGGGCCTCTCTCTGTTGTGGCCTCTCCCATTGCAGAGCACAGGCTCCGGACGCACAGGCTCAGCGGCCATGGCTCACAGGGCCCAGCCGCTCCGCAGCAGGTGGGATCTTCCCGGACCGGAGCACGAACCCATGTCCCCTGCATCGGCAGGCGGACTCTCAACCACTGCGCCACCAGGGAAGCCCTGCAAATAAGTTTTAAGAGTAAAAATGTCCAGCACACAGAGGTAACTAGGCAGAGGAGAAGAGAAGACAGCGCAACAGAGAACCAGCTGTAACAACAGACACTGTGGCTTCAGCCTGGATCACTCACGCTAGGGAGAGCCAGCTGCTAGATCTCCCATGGACAGGCTCATGGCAGGAATGAAGCTTCCTGCCGTGGCCACGTGAGTGAGCCTGCAAGCACCTACCCGGGTCAGGCCTTCAGATATGACTGCAGGCAGCATCTTGACTGCAAACTCACAAGAGTCTCTGAGTCAGAACCACTTAGAGTGACTGAGGTACTCTTGGGAAGAAAAGTAAGAGTATAAACAGAAGAGTGTGCTATAACCCCATTTGCAGTAAGATCTCAAAGAGAATGCAATACCAGTCCCAGGCTAAACAAAAAAGATTTAAATTGACGCTTTGAGTGGGTACCCACAAGTACAAACTGACAGCCTGAATGTGGCCAATTTCCATTATGGCTTTCTGAGTGGTCCTGACGTTGATACACAGGCCTGTTTCACCAGGACAGCCGCCATCTGTCCGCGGCTGCTGTCTTGATGGCAGCAGACGCTGGGGCGGGTGTCCTTGCTCCCAGGCCAGCATTCAGAGGCTGTACTGCAGGCCGGCATTGCGTCAGGTGCCAGGGTTTCAGAAATCACGGGTGCCTGTCCTCTGTAGGGTCTTAACCAGCAGGATAGAGAGCGGTGAGCTGGGCCGACACACAGCTCAGTAAGTGCTCTCAGGGAAGGAGGCGTGCCCAGGTCCCGGGGACACCAGCCTGGACAAGCTGTAACCCAGCTCGGCGTTCTGCCTGCCAGCGTGCTCCCCCAGGCTCCTTCCGCGTGGCCACTCCCTTTCTTCCTGCAGACCTTCGCGCAGAGGTCACCTTTTCAAAGAGGCGACCTTGGGCACCCTATTTTCACTGCCACACCCGCTGCCCCCTCTCCCCATCCTCTTTCTAATTCTCTCCAATACTGATGGGTCGGGAGATAGTAGCTGGTCTGCCCTCCCCACAAGGCGAGCAGGGGCGATGGCCGGGGGCGTGCGGGGTGCACTGCGGCCCGAGGAGGCCTCGCAGAGAGAGTCCATACAGGACGGCGGCGCTGGGCGGGGGCAGAAGTGGGGGGCGTTCCCCAGCCTCGCAGGGACAGGACGGGCCACCAGACCTGAGCAGACCCGGGTCGTGTTCCCCGGCACCACGGGGACAGGACGGGCCACCAGGCCGCGGCCGACCCGGGTCGCGGTCCCCCGCCCCGCGGCGCGAGGCGATGGAGCCGGGGGGCGGGCGCAGAGGCCAGGGGGCGCGGCGGCACTTACTCCCGCTTCCTGAAGCGCTCGCGCCCGGCCGCCACGTACTTGCCGCCGGCCTGCAGCGCGTCCAGCTCGCTCACCGGGCGCCCGCGCGTCGGCGTGAAGAGGCGCCGCGCACCGAAGGGCGCCTCCACCTGCTCAGTCAGCTGCTCCAGCAGCGCCTCGAAGGTGGCCACGCGGCGCCGCGACAGCGCGCGAACTTGCGGCCCACGTAGAACGGGTCCCCGTTGCGGTACAGCACCACGATGGTTCTGGCGGGCGCGGGGTCCACCAGCACGTGCGGCGCGCGCGAGCTCACGGCCCGCGCCGCCCATGCGCTCCGCCGCCGGACAGCCGCGCTGCCTGGGCCACGGCCGCCACCGCCCGCGCTGACGCCACCGGCGATTGTGACCGCAGCGCGCCGCCGCCCGGGAGAGGACACGTGAGGGGGAAGCAGAACCGGGACGGGTGACGGCGCATCAGAGTCCGGACAGGTGAGGACGGCAGAGCTGGGGAAAGGGACGGGGCGCGGCTCCCCGGCGAAGGCGGCGGGAGGGCAGGGGCACCCACCGCGACCCCTCCCACTACTCCTCCGCCCTCCGACGCGCAAGACATGGGGAGGTGGCGGGTAGCAGGACCGTCTTGACAATTAAAACTGCGTCAGGGAGGAATTGTCAGGAACCGTCCAGAGCGTGGGAGAAACTGGAATACTAGGCGCAGCTGGCACGTGGTATCGCAAAGGTGTAGCCTTCGGGACGCACCTTCATTTGGGGGAAGAACAATTCAAGGGCCTGTATGTCCTTGGGAGAGTCGTGCCCTATTCTTTTTTTTCTTTTTTTTTTTTCTTTTTTTTTCTGGCTGCATTGGGTCTTCGTTGCTGCGTGCGGTCTTCTCATTGTGGTGGCTTCTCTCGTTGCGGAGCATGGGCTCTAGGCGTGTGGGCTCAGTGGTTGTGGTTCGCGGGCTCTAGAGCGCAGGCTCAGTAGCTGTGGTGCAGGGGCTTAGTTGCTGCACAGCATGTGGGATCTTCCCAGATCAGGGATCGAACCCTTGTCCCCTGCACTGGCAGGCAGATTCTTAACCACTGCACCACCAGGGAAGCCCTTGTTTGCTTTTTGTATGGCGCATAGTAGGTGCTTGCATTGTTTTGTTGTTGTTGAACTAATAACTCCAGGAAGGCCAAAAAGCAATTGGGAAATTCACCACAGATGAATGTTTGGTGCCAGAAATCAGCATTGCTAAATCCTACACCGACACACACGAGAGCCTTACATTTTTATTTTTACAACACATTGCTTTGCCATGCGATTGAGAATACTAAAGCTAATATTCTCAAAATCAAATAGCTGCTGAGAACCACAGCAGCCTGAGATTAGGTCTGCAGAGCAGAAAATAGCTACCAAGATCCATTCACATTATCTGATTCTAATAAAATGAATGCTTTTTATTTGTTTGATTATTTCCTAGAAGGTGGAAGCCAAGCTTTTTTATATAGAAGCTCAAAATCATTCATCAGAGTATTCTGCTGAAACCAGCCCTATATGTCTGTACATGAAAGATTTGGTGAAATTGATCTGAAAAAAATTCAGTGGAACAGTGGGAGTCTTGATATTTACAGTAAATGAAACCAGACTGTGTTGGCATAAAACCCAAGAAAATATACTAGCGAGACTAATTCACAACACTATTCTGGTTCATTGAACATTATGATCTGCTTTAATGGTATAGAATGTTAATGTCTGTTAACGTAAAGCTGGTTTTACATTTTTAAAAAAATGAGGTTCTTCTTTACAGAATTAATATCCAGCCTCACTTTTATCAAAACTGTCATGGAATATTAGATATGCCTCTTGGTACTTTTGAGGGAGACTCAATAAAGCAACTCTATGCCCACCCCAGGTATCCCATTGGGTTCTCCTACTGCTTCCTCTCCCTTTTAAACTTGGATCCAGGTAGAATCCTCGTGGAGCAGTTAAAGGTGCAGCGGGGGAGATGGGGAGGAGAAATCTGCATACAGACATGCCCACCCCTCACCTTCTATCCATTGAGGCTGCCAATGAAGAACGAGATTTAATGTGTGCAGGAAACTTCAAGGACCAATCCCACAAAGCAGGGCTCCCACCCAATACCTTTTCAGACGCTCCCTCAACTCCTAAGCTCTGTACACACTGGGTTGAACATATGAAGTTGCTATTTCAGTTATCAAAAATTGCCAAATAGAAATTTCTCAGGGCTCTACTAAGTGCTTTTGTTGTGACATTTATCACTATTTTTGCAGGATTTTTCTTGTGCATCTCCCACCTGGGTTGTTCACTTTGTAAGGGCAAGGACCCTGTCAATTCAGTCTTAACAACAAATGGCTACTGAGCATCTACTCTGTCCCCCCAGCCTGTGCTAGGAAGTGGGCGTGAGCAAAGGACAACCCAGACACATGACCCCTGTCTTCAGGAAGCTTGCGTTCTGTTGCCTCTGCCCTACTCATCATCTGGGAAGTGATTGTACGGCCGGTGCTTAGCCCCTAGCACAACACAGCTATACCATAAGTGTTTGTTGAATTAGCAAATGTGAAAAGTCCTAAATCTCTCCTGTTGGCTTTGCTCTTTCAGTTGCTTCCATTGATTTTAGAACAGATGGTTCTAAACGTGTTCAAGTCTCTACATGTTGGTGTCTTACTTTAAAGCATGATAACCAGAAACACGTTGCATCTAAAGTGAGGGTCAAGAGATCCACTTCTAGCATGATGGCACATGGATCTCTGCTGACCTATTCCCCAGGGAAGCTCGTGAAAATTAGGAAAAAAGCAACCACTTAAAGTCTCTGGGAATAGTCCTAAGGGCACACAGAAAATGAAGCCACATTTATTGCAAAAATCTACTAAAACTCAGCAAGACCAGGGAGAGTCTGTGGTATGTGTGGTATGTGAACCAGGCCAGCACCTTCACTCCCTCCTCCCACTACAATGAAGTGGAGTCTCCCTTCCACACAGGTGCAGCCATGAACGCAGGGCTGGTCCCCAGATCTCAGTTGGGGGCTTTCTTCCCAGGAGGGTTCTCATTCTGCCCCCTCTGCCTGTTGTGAGGCTAAGTTCCAGGTGAGTGTGGCTGAGAAGAGGGGGGCACCTTCCTTCCACCCAGCCCCCACTCAGGAGACGGGGCTCTACCCTGCACACAGCCCCACTGAGTTACTGGAGCCATGATCGCCTGTGTCTCAGTTCACAAGGCAGGGGGTCCACACTGAGAGAGACAAGCCGAGAAGACCTGAGGCTACTGCCCCCCTCCATTGAGCACCCAGCTTCTAAAGCAGGGCTGTCAGTCAGAGAGAAGTGCACCATTGTCCCCACCCCCCAGCTCCAGAGCCAGGGCTCAGAGATCAGGGAGAAGTGGGTCCTAGAACAGAGAGCTCCAAATCTCTTCCCAGTAAATGGGCTTCACGTGGAACAGAGTATGGAGAAGTTCAAGCCTAAGGGTGCTCTCAAAAGCAATGGCGGTGATGGTGAAAAGCTATAAGAGGAGACTGAGACTAATACATTCATCAGATATATATATATATATATATATATATATATATATATATATATAAAACTGCAGTACAAACTGTAAGCGAGACAGTTGGCTGGAAAGAACAGGGAAGGAGCTCAAAGAAGCCTTTCTGGGATCAGAACAAATCTCAAACACTGACCTCGGGCTTCCCTGGTGGCGCAGTGGTTGAGAGTCCGCCTGCCGATGCAGGGGACACAGGGTCGTACCCCAGTCCGGGAAGATCCCACATGCCACAGAGCGGCTGGGCTCATGAGCCATGGCCACTGAGCCTGCATGTCCGGAGCCTGTGCTCCTTCCTCTCCCTTTTAAACTTGGATCCAGGTAGAATCCTCGTGGAGCAGTTAAAGGTGCAGCGGGGGAGATGGGGAGGAGAAATCTGCATACAGACATGCCCACCCCTCACCTTCTATCCATTGAGGCTGCCAATGAAGAACGAGATTTAATGTGTGCAGGAAACTTCAAGGACCAATCCCACAAAGCAGGGCTCCCACCCAATACCTTTTCAGACGCTCCCTCAACTCCTAAGCTCTGTACACACTGGGTTGAACATATGAAGTTGCTATTTCAGTTATCAAAAATTGCCAAATAGAAATTTCTCAGGGCTCTACTAAGTGCTTTTGTTGTGACATTTATCACTATTTTTGCAGGATTTTTCTTGTGCATCTCCCACCTGGGTTGTTCACTTTGTAAGGGCAAGGACCCTGTCAATTCAGTCTTAACAACAAATGGCTACTGAGCATCTACTCTGTCCCCCCAGCCTGTGCTAGGAAGTGGGCGTGAGCAAAGGACAACCCAGACACATGACCCCTGTCTTCAGGAAGCTTGCGTTCTGTTGCCTCTGCCCTACTCATCATCTGGGAAGTGATTGTACGGCCGGTGCTTAGCCCCTAGCACAACACAGCTATACCATAAGTGTTTGTTGAATTAGCAAATGTGAAAAGTCCTAAATCTCTCCTGTTGGCTTTGCTCTTTCAGTTGCTTCCATTGATTTTAGAACAGATGGTTCTAAACGTGTTCAAGTCTCTACATGTTGGTGTCTTACTTTAAAGCATGATAACCAGAAACACGTTGCATCTAAAGTGAGGGTCAAGAGATCCACTTCTAGCATGATGGCACATGGATCTCTGCTGACCTATTCCCCAGGGAAGCTCGTGAAAATTAGGAAAAAAGCAACCACTTAAAGTCTCTGGGAATAGTCCTAAGGGCACACAGAAAATGAAGCCACATTTATTGCAAAAATCTACTAAAACTCAGCAAGACCAGGGAGAGTCTGTGGTATGTGTGGTATGTGAACCAGGCCAGCACCTTCACTCCCTCCTCCCACTACAATGAAGTGGAGTCTCCCTTCCACACAGGTGCAGCCATGAACGCAGGGCTGGTCCCCAGATCTCAGTTGGGGGCTTTCTTCCCAGGAGGGTTCTCATTCTGCCCCCTCTGCCTGTTGTGAGGCTAAGTTCCAGGTGAGTGTGGCTGAGAAGAGGGGGGCACCTTCCTTCCACCCAGCCCCCACTCAGGAGACGGGGCTCTACCCTGCACACAGCCCCACTGAGTTACTGGAGCCATGATCGCCTGTGTCTCAGTTCACAAGGCAGGGGGTCCACACTGAGAGAGACAAGCCGAGAAGACCTGAGGCTACTGCCCCCCTCCATTGAGCACCCAGCTTCTAAAGCAGGGCTGTCAGTCAGAGAGAAGTGCACCATTGTCCCCACCCCCCAGCTCCAGAGCCAGGGCTCAGAGATCAGGGAGAAGTGGGTCCTAGAACAGAGAGCTCCAAATCTCTTCCCAGTAAATGGGCTTCACGTGGAACAGAGTATGGAGAAGTTCAAGCCTAAGGGTGCTCTCAAAAGCAATGGCGGTGATGGTGAAAAGCTATAAGAGGAGACTGAGACTAATACATTCATCAGATATATATATATATATATATATATATATATATATATATATATAAAACTGCAGTACAAACTGTAAGCGAGACAGTTGGCTGGAAAGAACAGGGAAGGAGCTCAAAGAAGCCTTTCTGGGATCAGAACAAATCTCAAACACTGACCTCGGGCTTCCCTGGTGGCGCAGTGGTTGAGAGTCCGCCTGCCGATGCAGGGGACACAGGTTCGTACCCCAGTCCGGGAAGATCCCACATGCCACGGAGCGGCTGGGCCCGTGAGCCACGGCCGCTGAGCCTGCACATCCGGAGCCTGTGCTCCACAATGGGAGAGGCCACAACAGTGAGAGGCCTGCGTACCACAAAAAAAAAAAAAACTGACCTCAAAAACTATCACTTCAAAGAAACCCAAATTTAATTGGATTGGTATGTGGAGCAATTTATGCCCAGGGCATTGTTGAAAAAATAGAGCAATCGGATGGCAATTAGTGGAGCTAACTGTGAATGTGGTTAAGGAAAGAGATAGTCAAAGAGAGCTCTACCCAAGCTGTCGTCTCAGGGCCACTGTGGGCATCCCCAGGGTTGTGCCCCTCAAGGGGCAGCACCAGAAGCTCACACTGTGAGGGTGAAATTGACTTCACTGAAGTAACTCGGCCAGCAGCTAAACATGGAAAAGCAAAGAGCACCTGTAGAGGTGATTATATAATTATTATAAGAGACAGTATAAATACACAGCTCCTGTCCCTTCTTCTGTTAAGTGATTTAAAGAACAATAGTATAAAATAATATGTATATACTGTATGTTGGGCTTTTGATAAATAAAAATGTGATCTATGTGTAATATATTTACCAGTAACTGCACAAAGGAGGTTGTTGGGAGCACAGCTGTTTTGGGCTAAAGAAAATGACTACATATGGTAACTTAAATCCACAGGAAAAAGTGAAGACAACCAGAAATGATAAATAGGAAGGTGAATATAACAAACCTTAAGTAAATGTAAATAAACTTGCTGTCCTTTCTTCTCTCAGCTTCTTCATAAGACATAAAATTATGTAAATAATTGTAATAGTGTATTGTTGGGTTTGTAACATTTATAGGTGTGCTTTGTAAAACGACAATGCCACCAAAGGGGGGAATGGAAATAGAGCTATATAAGAGTAATGTTTCTGAAAGAAAGTAAAAATAAAATAGTGGGAAAAATTACTAAATAAATTAAAATGCTGTTTATAAAAATTCAATCAAATCAAAAGAGTGGTAAAGGAGGGAAAAGAGGAATAAAAAAAGACATGAGACACAGAAAGCAAAAAGTTAAATGGTAGCTGTAACTCCAACTATATAATAACAAACAATAACAAAATATGTATTAAACTATCAAAAGGCAAAAATAGTCCAACTGCATGGCAAAACAAAACTATATACTGCCTACAGGAGACACACTATATATTCAAAGATACAAATATATTGAAAGTAATAGGTTGGAAAAATTAGATCATGCAAACAGCAACCACAAACAAACTGGAGTGGTTTTACTAATAACAGACAAAATAGACTCTAAAACAACAACAAAAAAAATGTTACTAGAGATAAAGAGGAACATTTTATAATGGTAAAAGGGTCAATCCTTCA